AATATTATATTTTATTATAATTTTTATTATAAAATAATAATATACTATACAAATTTATATATTATTTTATATTTCTTATTTATTATATATTATTTATACATTATATCCAAAAATTAGAAAATTAATTGTTCTATTTTAAATCACTCTAATCATTTCTAATATTATATTTTATTATAATTTTTATTATAAAATAATAATATACTATACAAATTTATATATTATTTTATATTTCTTATTTATTATATATTATTTATACATTATATCCAAAAATTAGAAAATTAATTGTTCTATTTTAAATCACTCTAATCATTTCTAATATTATATTTTATTATAATATTTACCTAACAAAATCGGATAATGGAGAAATGAAAATTGCATAAAAATAGAATTATAATAGACTAAAGAATCCACTATGCACATATCTCAGTCCACCGAATAGGAATATGCAAAATTCAATCTCCCAGGGTAACTTACCCTATTTCAGGAGGCTACATTATTTTTAATTACACTATAACTTCCCATCTAGATCCTGTGCTCGGAAACTTTTACAACTTCACCTAGATAAGCTTCGTAACAATAAAACCATATCATTCGACGAATCCATTTAAAGGTATTCATAGTGAGTATCTAGATTGCAATAATAACATCGCCTTTCGTCCTTGAATATGGCTGAACAGCGTTATCGTAGCATAAAAGTGATTCAGATGTTCGCAGTTAAATTTATTCGCACTGCTGCTGAAAATGTGATACATGACCGAATGAAATCGAACGAAGGATCGAGAACTGAGATGAAATTCGTTTTCGTTCCTATTTTCCGAGTAATATCCAAAGGGAAATTAAAAACATATCACTTTTGCATTTCCATCTTGCTTAATCCTGTTGCTCGAGCATCTTTTCGAACGTTAGCGTAATATACATGCATATTATACATTATATATTATATATTATACGTGTATCTATACAGGGTGTCTCGGAAAAATTTAACACTTCGATTTTGTTTTAATTTTTATTAAAGTATAGTAATAGTATAGTATACTATATATTCTAGTATACTCAGTATATTATTTTATTATACTATTTTACTATATTATTTTAAATAACACTATACTATTTTATTAAAGTATAGTAATAGTATAATAATACTATAAATAGTATAGTAATAAAGATATTTTTTAAATAAAAATTGTTCAGTTCTAAAGGGATCAGTATATATTTTTCTTAGAGATTTCTTGACAGGTGTCTTTGCTAAAGAGATGTGAAGATTATTTCTGTTTCTTTTAATTGCAGTCTAGATTTTCTTTGTTTATTACATATCTTTAATACCTTAATCTTTATTACATATCTTATCTGATTGTACTTTCACCGTTTAAAATACTGTTCAACGCGAATTATAATCTGTAATACACATTTTGAGTAATTCTTGTAATCGAAATTACTCTATCACCCTCAGTTTTCGACAATTGATTTTTAGTTAAAATGGAAAATGAAAATTGTTTATAATTATAATTATTCATGTTTCTGAGTAACTATGATACGTTAGAAGATTCATTCTCATTTTAAAAATTAGGAGTTTATTTTTTAATCACTTTATGTTAAAAAGTCGTTCGTATTTATTTATTTTTCTCTTTTCTTTCTCATTTTCTTTTTTTCTCTTTATCGTCCTTTGGCCGATCTAAATATCGAATTTTATAGCCTACGACAATATCGCGAGAAATGAAAGGCGACGTTATGCGTTGTTCTATTAAATTTTATTCCACGTTTCTCATTTACAAGGACATCGTAAAATTTACTTTACGCAATTTCTATGTACCCTCGAAGAAAGTATGCATGTATGTGTATAAGGGTGTATGACAGCTTCGAGTCCCTCGTATATTACTGCAATGTACGAGACACCTGGAGGAATTGATAGTATAACATTTAAAAAAGAAAAGGTTTTCTTTCGAGCTTATTTAAATTTTAGGTTCCCCTTAGATGAGGCCTTTGCTGTTGTTTATTTGGGGAGAAAGCCACGTTTAATAACAATAAACAGTTGTGGATAAAACAAAAATTTACTTAGTATTATAGTACTTAGATTTTTCAAATAAATTTCGATTAGACTTACAGTTGTTAATATTCTAAATTTCAATATAATTAATATTCATTTAATATTATGATTATTAATAATTTGATGGATATTGAATATTAACAATCATAGTAATTAATATTTTAAATTTTAGCACCTAATATCTTAATACTGTAAATAATAATTCTTCAGATTTTAATATTGAATATTTTAATTCTTTAAATTGTTATATGTGAAATTTTATTAGTCGATAGTTTAATATTTTATTATTTAAATTCTCAGAACATTTAGCATAGAATGTTTTAATTTAACAGTCTTATGATACTCACGATTTCCTCCTCTATTTCAAAAAATATACGAAATACACGAATGGTAGTTTGCAGATTGTGATATTAAAACGACGCGATATATGCATCAAATGCTTGCAGGTTGAACTATATTTTAAATCATTCGTACAGAGGTACATTCGAAAAATTGATCAGTAGACTCTTATATAAACATCGAAGTGCACTATTGTGGTATCTCCAGTATAAAACGTCATATTTATTAAATAGTGACCACTGGGAAATGTCGGTGGCAAACCATCCATATTGTCGATCACGTATTCGTCTAGTTGATAAGTTCTCTGAAATGACATAAAACAGATTCAGAACTTGGCATCTTTCGGTATAAATCAAACCAAACGCGATTGCGATATTTAAAATTCGCGCTACTCGACATTCTTTAGCGTAAATCGAAACAAGCGCGGTGATAATATTTAAAATTCCCGCCACTTTGCATCTTTCGGTATAAATCAAAACAAACGCGATTACGATATTCAAAATTCGCTCCAGTTGATATTCTTTAGCGTAAATCGAAACAAACGCGAATATAATGTTTAAAATTCGTGCCACTTTGAATTTTCCAACGTGAATCGAAATGAACACGATCGCGTTGTTCAAAATTCCCGCCATTTGCATTTTTCAGTACAAATCAAAGCAGACGCGATTACGATATTCAAAATTCGCGTTAGTCGACATTTTTTAAGATAAACCGAGAAAAACGCGAATATAATGTTTAAAATTCGCGCCACTTTGCTTGTTTCCAGCGTAAAAGTAACTAGCGCCATTGGGTCACTTAGTTCGTTTCCGCCGGATTTCTCCAACGACTCCTAGCGCCCAAACGGTTTATGTTTTGCTCTATTTTACACCTTCGTTTTACAAATTATTTTACAAACCGCTGTTGGTGGGCAAGGACCGTTCATGTCGACTGCTCTTAATATCGGAACAGCTATAGAATTCGGATCTTCCGCAACTTCGCAGAGATTTACTTCCACGTGTAGACCAACATCAACCGTATATTCACCCATTCGAACCGTGAATACATCGGCTATTATCTACGGAAATAAATAAAAGTTAGCATACAACACGATTATTGCGGAATCAATCCATGAGAAAATTATAAAAGAAAAACAATTCTAAATAACTTTTGAGCAAAGCGAATATTTTATTACTAATAAAATTGAAATAAAAATGAAAAATCTAATGAGAGTATATTATTTGTTAGAATTATTATTAGAATTAATTTACTATAATGTATAATATAGTTTCAGGCTCATCATTTTATACCATTTATAATGTTTCTGTTATTGCTATGATTGGTTCCTAATTTAGATTTACTATGAGCTTATATTTTCATGACACAATTGTTATTTAATATTTGGAATCATAATTATGCTTAAACATACAATTTTCTGCACACTGCTCAATCGTTACTTTAGTATACTATATTGCATTCTTAATCGTATTACATTATCTCATTATATCATCTAAATACATTGTCTACAAAGCAAATCGTTTTATATTAAACTATAAAATTTGTGTAATTTTAACAAAAGTAATAAATATTTCTATGTCATCTGAATTATGATACGATGATTTTCCAATGTTTCTTTTTTAATTTTATTGTATAATAAAATCTGAAATTTTGAACTTTGAAATTTTTAATTACAAGTATTCGATATCACGATAAGGTCGTTATTTATTGCATAATAATTGCGTAACAATTATCGCATAATAATATTGTAAGTACGTACATTCACATCGGGGGGAAAATCCTTAATAACCTCTATGTACGTGCTCATACTGGCCCCATATGTACTGTCGTAGTCCAGCTCTAACTCGCATGTTGATATATATTCCTCGTTAACTTGAGAGCAGTCAACATCTTCGAATATCACGTCATAAGTTGCCTGATTTTGACAAAAGAACACATTTAAAATATCCATATTAAAATCTACCATAAACATAATTCCAAGCCAACTCTTTTTATTATGACAATTACGACAGTGTTAATAATAATCACTATTAACAATAACAATAAATATCCACAAAATTAATATTTTCACAACCTTTATCTTTCGTCACAAAAATAAAAATAAAATTGAATAATCCATAGTTACATTCCATAATCCATAAAGTTGCATAATCTATCTAGTCAAACAAATTATAATTCGTGAAATAATATCACAGGATATTTATTTCCACAATTCATAATAAAATTAATTTAGCAGAGGACTTTTTATTATTTTGTGCTCACCTGCACTGTGCACCATGTCAGTGCACAAGCTGCCAACGACCAGAAAAGCATCCTGACAGACGTATGCCAAGTGGCCTGTTCCAACGTAGTAATGAACGATATTAAACGTTGCTTTTGCCATTTGTTAAGTTATCCCAGAAATAGAATTACACAAGGAAACGTAATATCTGCTAGATCTGTGATTTTATCAGAAATTATTGTCTCCTCGAAATTGCGAAGCTGCCACAATGAGTAACCATTTTGATACTCCTGTCACGAACATCGTAATTATGAGAAACGTGATCCTTTTCATATCACTGTATCACATGCTATTCATTATTACGTGCAGTTTATTATAAACTCAAAATATACGATACATGTACGTACAAAGTGTATATAATAAAATATAATAAAATAATAAAATATATATGTGACGATTTTTAGTCATATCTTGGTATACTGAAGAAATATATCGATCATTTCGAATATATCGATTCGAGATTTGTTGAAAAAAATTCCGAGATGGTCACTTTGTTCCAAGTTCCACGTCTTGCATTTTATAGATTGAATATTATATGTACAAAATGTATATAATAAAATATATATGTGACGATTTTTAGTCCTTTCTTGGTATACTGAAAAAATATATCGATCCTTTCGTTAAATCGAAACAAACGCGAATATAATGTTTAAAATTCGTGCCACTTTGAATTTTCCAACGTGAATCGAAATGAACACGATCGCGTTGTTCAAAATTCCCGCCATTTGCATTTTTCAGTACAAATCAAAGCAGACGCGATTACGATATTCAAAATTCGCGTTAGTCGACATTTTTTAAGATAAACCGAGAAAAACGCGAATATAATGTTTAAAATTCGCGCCACTTTGCTTGTTTCCAGCGTAAAAGTAACTAGCGCCATTGGGTCACTTAGTTCGTTTCCGCCGGATTTCTCCAACGACTCCTAGCGCCCAAACGGTTTATGTTTTGCTCTATTTTACACCTTCGTTTTACAAATTATTTTACAAACCGCTGTTGGTGGGCAAGGACCGTTCATGTCGACTGCTCTTAATATCGGAACAGCTATAGAATTCGGATCTTCCGCAACTTCGCAGAGATTTACTTCCACGTGTAGACCAACATCAACCGTATATTCACCCATTCGAACCGTGAATACATCGGCTATTATCTACGGAAATAAATAAAAGTTAGCATACAACACGATTATTGCGGAATCAATCCATGAGAAAATTATAAAAGAAAAACAATTCTAAATAACTTTTGAGCAAAGCGAATATTTTATTACTAATAAAATTGAAATAAAAATGAAAAATCTAATGAGAGTATATTATTTGTTAGAATTATTATTAGAATTAATTTACTATAATGTATAATATAGTTTCAGGCTCATCATTTTATACCATTTATAATGTTTCTGTTATTGCTATGATTGGTTCCTAATTTAGATTTACTATGAGCTTATATTTTCATGACACAATTGTTATTTAATATTTGGAATCATAATTATGCTTAAACATACAATTTTCTGCACACTGCTCAATCGTTACTTTAGTATACTATATTGCATTCTTAATCGTATTACATTATCTCATTATATCATCTAAATACATTGTCTACAAAGCAAATCGTTTTATATTAAACTATAAAATTTGTGTAATTTTAACAAAAGTAATAAATATTTCTATGTCATCTGAATTATGATACGATGATTTTCCAATGTTTCTTTTTTAATTTTATTGTATAATAAAATCTGAAATTTTGAACTTTGAAATTTTTAATTACAAGTATTCGATATCACGATAAGGTCGTTATTTATTGCATAATAATTGCGTAACAATTATCGCATAATAATATTGTAAGTACGTACATTCACATCGGGGGGAAAATCCTTAATAACCTCTATGTACGTGCTCATACTGGCCCCATATGTACTGTCGTAGTCCAGCTCTAACTCGCATGTTGATATATATTCCTCGTTAACTTGAGAGCAGTCAACATCTTCGAATATCACGTCATAAGTTGCCTGATTTTGACAAAAGAACACATTTAAAATATCCATATTAAAATCTACCATAAACATAATTCCAAGCCAACTCTTTTTATTATGACAATTACGACAGTGTTAATAATAATCACTATTAACAATAACAATAAATATCCACAAAATTAATATTTTCACAACCTTTATCTTTCGTCACAAAAATAAAAATAAAATTGAATAATCCATAGTTACATTCCATAATCCATAAAGTTGCATAATCTATCTAGTCAAACAAATTATAATTCGTGAAATAATATCACAGGATATTTATTTCCACAATTCATAATAAAATTAATTTAGCAGAGGACTTTTTATTATTTTGTGCTCACCTGCACTGTGCACCATGTCAGTGCACAAGCTGCCAACGACCAGAAAAGCATCCTGACAGACGTATGCCAAGTGGCCTGTTCCAACGTAGTAATGAACGATATTAAACGTTGCTTTTGCCATTTGTTAAGTTATCCCAGAAATAGAATTACACAAGGAAACGTAATATCTGCTAGATCTGTGATTTTATCAGAAATTATTGTCTCCTCGAAATTGCGAAGCTGCCACAATGAGTAACCATTTTGATACTCCTGTCACGAACATCGTAATTATGAGAAACGTGATCCTTTTCATATCACTGTATCACATGCTATTCATTATTACGTGCAGTTTATTATAAACTCAAAATATACGATACATGTACGTACAAAGTGTATATAATAAAATATAATAAAATAATAAAATATATATGTGACGATTTTTAGTCATATCTTGGTATACTGAAGAAATATATCGATCATTTCGAATATATCGATTCGAGATTTGTTGAAAAAAATTCCGAGATGGTCACTTTGTTCCAAGTTCCACGTCTTGCATTTTATAGATTGAATATTATATGTACAAAATGTATATAATAAAATATATATGTGACGATTTTTAGTCCTTTCTTGGTATACTGAAAAAATATATCGATCCTTTCGAATATATCGATTCGAGATTTGTTGAACAAAAATTCCGAGATGGTCACTTTGTTCCAAGTTCCACGTCTTGCATTTTATATATTGTATATTATATATACAAAATGTATATAATACAATGTAATAATGTAATAAAATATATATGTGACGATTTTTAGTCGTTTCTTCGTATACTGAAGAAATATATCGATTCGAGATTTGTTGAACAAAAATTCCGAGATGGTCACTTTGTTCCAAGTTCCACGTCTTGCATTTTATAGCTTCTCGTTCTAGAAATAGTTGAGAAATCGAAATTTCCCTGAGAAACATGCCCGTGTATCAAGAGAAATGATCTTCCGGGTCTGGAGCCAGCTTCTATCAATGTCCTTTCTCCTCTTCGCGTGACCATATTGAAAAGAATACCAAATGAGGCAGCTGATCGACCGTTAACATTGGCATGCTCCCAGTTAATCGACAAAGCGAGCATAACGTGACTTGTATTCTCTATTCCTCGACTCCTGGCCTCGAGGAGCTGCAGCCTGAAGAAATACGTAGCTTGCTGACCGAAAGATAAATTTACGATATCGCTGATGCATTCGTCTCGTGATGAAACCCCAACTAGGAGAATGTCTATGAGGAATCGAATAATCGACAGAATAAATAGGACACTTAGCATGGATTTTTCAAAAATTAATGAGGATATTTTAAAATTTGATTTGGGATCTGTGGTAACAGGATTATGGTTCTTTGCTTCTTAGAAAGTTAGATAATCGATAGAATAAATTGGTCGTTTAGCATGGACTTCCAAAAATTAATGAGAATTTTTGAAAATTCATTTTTGGGTTTTAAAATCACAGGATCGTGGGTCTTACCTTCTTGGGAAGTCAGATAATCGACAGGATAAATCGGACACTCGTTATCAGCTTTTAACAAATTAATAATAATTTAAGTAAATCTTTAATAATTTATTTATAGATATAATATATCTATTTATAGATAATTTGAACACTTACGTTAATTTTTAAAGAAAAAGTAACTATTTTGGAGAACTTTTATTTTTAGCATATTAAGGTGTCAGATAACCAACAAAATATATTGGTTATATCGTTTTCCAAAAATTAATGGCAATTTTAAAAAATTCGTTTTTAATTATATGACAGTAAGAACATTATTCTTAATTTATTGGGAAGTGAAATAATCTGCACAATAAGTGGGATATCCATTACTGAGGATTTTTTAAAATTTGTTTTCGAGTCTATAATAACAGAATCGTTACTATTAACTCGTCAGATAATTAAATAATCTACAGAATGAATTAAATATTCACTATCGATTTTCCAAGGATTAACGTGAGCTTTTAAAAATCTATTTCAGAAACTGAGATAGCAGAATAATCAACAGAATAAATAAAACATCGGTTTTCCAAGGATTAATGAATAAGACACTCATTATCGTCTTTCCAAAAAATTAATGAGATTTGCAGAAAATTCATTTTTAAAATTCGTTTTGCAGAATTGTTATTTTTAGTTCCTTGAAAAATCGAATAATCGATTAAATAAATTGGGTACTCATGATATAATCTCCTTCCAAAATCAAGTTCAATATTTTACTTATATAATCTATAACAATATATAGATGTCTACAATACATAGCAAATAATGTAATACTCGTAATTATCGTATATAGAATTTTAAATAAGTTGCGATTACTATAAGTTCATTTAAGTTTTCTACTCTATTTTAATAAAACGTAAACCGACTTTGGTGAACAGATTCTGGAAAAAATTTTTGTTCAGCCATTTTTAGTAGCTTCTGAGGGATCCATTCATATAAGATTTATCGTGATCTCGCGTGATTACCGTTTTCTAGACCTATTAGGTTGCTAGAAAAATAATTTCGTCTTGCTTCTTTTCCATCTCCACTTAAATAACCTAAATAAAACGTAAATCATCACAACATACAAAATGTTTATCATCAAAATATAGAGCGGAGTCAGCGCTTTTGAACGATACATAACGTAACCACATTTCCAAAATAATTTATTCCAATATCGAGCTGCAAAAATCGAAAATACAAAGAACGAAATTATTTTTCTACCAATCTAATAACTTATATATCCAAAAACGAGGAAAAACATGAATTCAGTACGACCCCTATTTGAAGGGTTAAAATACAAGCATTTCACTAATTTTTGTTACGTACATATAACTAAGAGACCATACTTCGAAGCTATATCAACAAATATAATCTGATCTTTATCGTTATAAAGATATAATACAGCCAATTATGCCAATTCCAGCAGAAAACGTGATCACCTGAAACAGGAATTCTTCCCATTTTCAAAGCCCCTAAAAAATATTCTACATAACTTACAGCGATCCTCGTGTATGCCATAACTTAATTCACGCTCACGAGAATGCACAGTAAAAATTCTATGGATTTTCAACATCAAAAGATTGACTGTGGTTCGTGTTTTTGGCGATCCGGACCGCTGTGCGTGGGTTCCCTTTACGAGCTTATTCCAATTCCGGCTGGGTGGGCAGACGGCTAAATGGATTTCGTCAATTCATTTACCACTTGATCTAGCCGCGCATTTCAATTATGTGTGTACTCTTTGCCGGTGGTATCCGGCTGCGCGCGCACGCGAGCCGCAGCGACCTGGGGCCCCCCAGATAAAGTCGTGGGAGCGGATGCGGTCCACGATACAATTGAATTAATCTCGATCGAACAACACCGTGGCACAAAACGAAACAGGAAATCGCGTTGTCGCGCGCAAAATCGAGCAAACGCGGCCACGCCGAATCTATTGGCCGTTATTACCCGTTACCGTTTTCCAGAACGTTGCTCGTTATTGGCCCCGACCGCGTTTCCCCTTTTTATCTCCCTCTTCCCTTTTTCGCCTCCTTTTTATCCCGTTTCCCACCCCTGCCTTCCTTCTTCCGCTTCCGCAACTATTCCTGGACGGTTAATTAGAATGTAACCGGTGCGACACGATTAAATTACCGAACCAGAAGTAATTTACACGAACGCGAAAGCGGGACTATCGTTTGGAACACGAGCGCGTTTTGTAGGTTAGGTTCGCGCTCGGGAAAATGGCTGCGCTCGAGAGGGTGCTTTCGATCCTGTGCTTTCTGCTCTAGTCTCGTTTTTTGGTGTATTTTTCTGGTTATCCAAGGGAGATATTAATAGTTTGCATTCCACTAGCGCCACTGCGGCGAGATTGTTAATCATTATTAGTAACCTTTTCGCTATTTGATATAATTGGTCACGTGGTCATGAAAATGTTGCGATCTTTGTGGTTGGATGTAGTTTGATTTATTGTGATATGAGGAATGTTAGGTAGGGTGATTATGGTGATTATGACAGTGACTTACGTCGCATTTAATTGTTCGCTGTTTTGACAAAAATAGCTTTATTTTATTGTGAAAATTATTTCTTTTGGATTTTTTACCTAGGTCACTTTTATAATTATCAGCACGTGTATACTCTCGTGTATATTGATTTGGTAAAGGTATATTACGTCATACGAGGACCACTATATACTGACATGCTTCCCAAAAAATTGGAATTTTTTAATTCTAATTGAATTGTGGGAAATACATGCTAGGAACTTTTGCGAAATCTTTTGAAATTTCCAAAGAATTATACTTCGGTTAAAAATTTTAGAATTGCTTTGAGAGTCAAAATGCCAGATTCCAGATTTGTTTGCTTTGATATTTCCAGAAATGAATGTTCTTCACCTGTGGATATAATTATATAATATATACCTATTCATTTCATTATCGCGTGTACTATATTTATGTACACCTCGTAACTCGCAAGTAAATCTAATAATAATCTGTAATGAGTTATGTGATATATAAAATTTAAAAAATATAGGAAATATTATTCTATCGAGAAATATTTCTATTTGTTTATTAATTTTTGACATTTTATTCAATCATTTTTTAATCGGTGTTTAATATTCTTTTGAATCTTATGGTCTTGTAGGAGACAGTTTATAAAATATTGTAAATGAAAGAAAATCAGTAGTTTCTATTTTCATGCAGGATTATATATACAATGTAAGAAACCGAATCGCAGCTCCAAATTTCGATCCGAATTATAAGTTTCAGCAGCTCTCGTGAATTTATGACACGTTCTTATGTAAATCGCTATTGAGATGCTGAAGGAAACCCAAGTTCTTTAAATTTTAATTAGAATCCGAAGTTTCCCTGCTCATAATTAATTGAGCTGAAATTGCTAGGAGAGAAGAGTTAGCAGAAGGTTGGTTTAAAAAATAGCAAAAAGTTACGTTCGTATTGTAAATCTCGCTTGTGTAATGGAATACTTCTTCTTTATGTCAGAAGTTTCCGTGTTCAGAATATATGGAACAATTGAGCTGTAACTTCAAACTTGGCCACAGAAGAAAAATACGTGACATGTTCTACTGTTTATAGCGAACTTCTTCTTTAACTTGAAATTC